AATCTTTAGTATAAAGTTTATATATAACTATTTATAATATTATAGTTTTTTAATATTATAATCAATTCAAAAAATAACTCTTTTCACTGATCCTCCGACTACACACAAAAAAAGATGTTCACAAGAAGTTTTTATATTTCTTTGCTAATAAAGTCTTAATACTTTCTTTAAAACAACTTGAAGTATGACTTCAAGAGTCGCTTTTACCCTTTCCTCTCTTGTTTACAAACCTCGTCACTCAAAAACTTGACTTCTGGTGACCAAGAAAAGTCAAGTAATATCTTTGATACTAATAGCAAGAAAGTTCCCAAAGAAAGAAAAACTGACTGTGAAGTATCTGAAGGCCTATCTAATCTTTGAAGCAAGAGGTATATAAAGATTTTAGATGATAGAAGGACTTATTTTTCCCTTCCAGTCACTTGTGGGTTCTTTAGAGCTATCACTTTTATGGTTTTCTGAGAAATTTTGCCTACCTTAGTTTGATCCTGAATTTTGGGTAGCACAAATCCTCACCAAAGGTAATTGGCTGACATAAAACACATTAGTTTTTGAAATGTAAACAAGCTTCTATTGATTATATCCACATGTTCTGATGACATTATTGGTGATTGAAAAGAAGGTTCCAAAAACGTTTGTCTCAAAAAAGCTCAAGTTTCTTAATGAAAACTTTCATAATACCAAAAGACCAAATGATAGGTAATGTAAATTGCAAACTCTCATTTATTACCTAAGTTTCTCAAGTGGTGACAAAGCTTTAATGGAAAAAAGCTGAGGTTTAAATGCTTTTCTTGAGATATCCCAATCCAGTGCTTACTTAAATGAAAGACTAGTTGGATTGACTTGTCTGATATTACAGGTAACAAAAAAGAAGATTTCTTTTGAGGTTCAAGTAAAGCAAGAAGACTATCCCAATCAAACAGATCCCTTTTAAGAAGAGGTTGTTTTTATTTTTGGATTTTTTTGATGGGCCTTGAATTGACTTCTTTCTTTAATCATTTTTTCCTTTTCTTTTTTTAACTTAGCAATCCATTAGTTTTTGGGCAATCAGCAGTGATAAACTGGTCTTGATAGATAGAGATTATTACCAATCTATTAGAGGAGCAATATATTGTTTCCAAAATCTGACTTAGAATACTTTTGTATGAAGATGAGTTAGTCACTTTGTGAAAGTCTATAGAATATTATTAATTTATTTCAATTTTTCAATAAAGATAAGCCATCGTGGTATGATTGTGGGATAAAAAAAAAAAAAAAAAAGAAAAATTATTATAACCAATTCAATATTATATTAAAGTATTCTAAGTCAAGTCTAAAAGATAATATTTATTTTTTTAGAGAGTTAATATAAACCTTTTCTTTAAATTTGTTTTATAAATTGTTCAAAAATTATAAATTGCTAAGTTAATAAAAAAAAAAAAAATAAATACAATTTAAGTTCTTTCGAAAAATCTATCAACTGAATAGTTTTCTCTTAAAAGAAATTTGTCTAAATGAAAAATTTTTCATATCTTTACTTGAATCTTAAAAAAATCTTCTTTATTATTATTTATAATATCAAACAAGTCAATTCAATTAGATTTATTATTTAAGTAAGTATTGAATTGAGATAGCTCAAAAGAATTTAAAAACCTTAATTTTTAATTAAAGCAGTTTTTTTATTATCTGAGAAACTTAAAAAGAATAGAATTTTTAATTTATATTATTTATCTTTTATTTTTTAATATTTTAAATATCTTCTTTAAAGACTTAAAACTTTTGAAAGAGAACAATTTCTAAAACTTTTTTTTTTAATTATTATTGATATTATTGAACCATTTTTTTTCTTAAAATGTTGGCTTTGTTATACTTTATTGAAACTCATAGAAGTAATAGAAATTGAGCTAACTCAAAAATTATATATTTGAATTTTCTTATCTAATAAAATAAAAACAATAAAAAATTTCCTTTAAGGATTACTTTACCATATAGTTAAGTCATCTCTTAAAAGATTAGAGAATTAGTGTATAGCTTCACTAATGCTAAAATAAATTTCAAATATGTAAAATAAAAGAAATAAAAGGTTAAGTTCCTAGTTATGTACTAATTTTTAGATGATTTGTCAAAATTTGAGCTTATTTGATAAAGCTGTGTTCAATACTTTATCAAACTCCTTAGACTACTATTCTTATAAATAAGAGGCAAGTATATATAAGTTTAAATAGGAGTAAAGATTTTGAATTATAAAAAAGATACTGGAGAATTGAAAAAAATAATTTGATTATATTTGATATTATTTATCAGTTCCAGTTTTATTTCTTCTATACCTTATCTAGTAAAAGATCTTGTATAAATGTTTTTTTAAGTAATAATAAGTCAAGAGTTTTGTAAAAACTTTAGGATATAGAGAAGATAAAAAAAAAGAGGAAGTTTAGGATCCATTATCCATCAATCTATTCTTCTTTTCTATTGTAATAATACCATCCTAAAAAGAAAAATCTTGATACTTTTGATATATATCCTGGCAAACTTGATAAATACTATACTGTTTTTTCCAAAGTACAACTGGAAGTTGATATTGATAATTAAATATGAGTAATTATGAAATATTCTTGATCTCCTAATAGCTTGTTAATAAGAGATAGGTATAACTCTTTTAAGATATTTTTCTTATTTTATATTTTTTTGAGTCTTGTCTTTATTTATTTTTTTAGGCAAATAAGAAAAAGAGCTTATTTTTTTTCTTTTATTTCATTAATAATATAGGAGTTAACAATTTATTTGTATTATAGATATATGACTTATGATAGATCTTAGGTTTTTATGAAACTAAGGAAATATATTTAAACACATGAGATAACTAATAGAAGCTTGTTTATTTTTTTTTTCTGATATGTTTAGTCATGTTCAATTATAATGTGAAAAACTTTGTACTATTCAAAATTCAGGATCAAACTGAGATAGATAAAATTCTTCAGAAGAATCTTTAAACAAATACTCTTATAGTCAAACTCAGGATAGCAAGAAGTGAAAGTGAGTCTCTTGCACCTATATATTATTATATAATATTTCTTTATAGTATAAGATAACTATATATCAGTTCTTCTTTCTTTCAGAGTTTTCTTACTATTAGTAGAAAAGGTAATTACTCAATTTTTTTTATTACAAGAAGTTATAAAATAGAATATAAACAAAACAGAAGAAAGAATAAGATGGCTCTTGAAAATTAACTTCAAGTTAGTTTAAGGAAAGTATTAAGACTTTATTAGTAGAAAAGAATAAAATCTCTCTTGTGAAAATCTTTTTATGTATGATCAAAGAATTAATGAAAAAAGTTTTGAATATTATTGAAATATATGAATATTATCAATAGAAGCTTGTTTGTATTTTATAAATTAATATAGTTTATATTAATCAATTACCTTTAATAAGGATTTGTACTACTTAAAATTCAGGATTAAACAAAGATAAATAAAATTTTTTATAAGATTATGAAAGTAAAAGTTTTAAAAAAGATTAGACAATTAGAAAGAAAGAAAAAAGTCTTTCTATTGCAATAGAATTTCTATAATCTCTTACTTCAAGTTTGAAAAAATCTTTAGATACTTTATAATTGATTTTTCTTCTTTTAAAAACTTTCTTACCATTGATATCAAAGGTATTGTTTGACTTTTTTTGATTATTAGAAGTCAAGTTATTAAATAAAGTAGTTTATAAATAAAAAAGAAAGAATAAAAATAATTTTTGAAATTATATTTCAGGTTGTTTTAATAATATTTTTATTTATTTTATATGATCTTATAAAAATTATATTTTTTTAATTTTTATTATAAATAAAGTTTTATTTATTTATTTCTTTTTGTATTATCCATAATCAAGTTAAATTATAGTTTATTAATTTATTAAAAAAATAAATATACTTTCATTCAAGAAGTATAATATATACTATAGTTAAATATTTTTATCAAATCCAATAAACTTATTATAGACTTAAGTTTGATCTTGAAAATAATATTTTGTTTGCAATGATTTTTAAGTAATTATTTTTTTAATATATTAAATTATTATCAATAGTTTGTACTGTTTATTGTATATTTTATAAAGTTATTAGAATATAAAAAACTACAAAAAAAGTAAGACAAAAAAATAATAGGAAAATATCATATCAAAAATCTTAAGAGCATTATAAAAAAATAAAAAAATTCTTTTAGTATTTTTTAAAAATTCACTTCTCAAAACTTCTTTTCAATAAAAAATTTTTTATTAAAAATTTTTTTTTACCTATTTGAGAAACTTATTTATTCTTGATTCTGATTTTTTTCTTATATACTATCTGAAAAAACTTATTATTTAGTAGAAGCTTTTATTTCAAAAATATATCTAGTTTCAATATGATTTGAACAATAATTTTATATTTATTTGTGATAAATGAATAATTTATAATGAACTTTGGATTTTTATATGACTCAATAAAAATTGAATCATATTATCTTAATATGATATTTTTCAATAATTATATATAATTAAAAAATTTTTACTGATAAATATTTTTCATTATCCAAAAAGTCAGATTCTTTAACAATCTTTCTACTTGTAATGGTAAAAGTGTAATTATAACAAAGAGAATCCTTATCAATTCTGATGATCTTTAACAATTTCTAGAAAAATATATTTTCAATTGTTACCAAAATTACAGTATACAAAAAGGTTAATAAAGTATATATAACAAACCTAACAATAAGTATAAAAAAAATAAAACAATAGTAATCTTTTAAAGTTTTTTTTTTGGTTACACTTGATTCGAATTAAAAAGTAGATTTTTATAATAATTCATTTAAAAAAATAAAATTTGGATTAATAAGATTATATAAATACAGCATATTTGACAATGCATTGTAAAAAAACTTCGGTTTAATAAAATAATTGATTTAATGGGGCGCAGTTTAACGAGGTTGACTATGTAGTATGAAAGAAAAGCATTAAATAAAACATCCGAGATTTATTAGTAGGAAACTAACTGAATTCTATTTCAAAAATTGATTATAAACAGGATTCTCTGTTTCATCTACTACGTGGTAGCCTAGATTATTTTTAAAATTTTCAAAAGCTTCTGAATCTTGAGGTGGTACTTGAATTCCGACCAACACCCTTCCTATGTCTATTAATAGTGGATATCATTAATTCCTTTTGAATTATCATTGTATTACGTTGACTTTATAGGCCATACCTGCGCCATGGTTACGATAATGGAATAATGAAATGTTCCAATTTGATTGTAATCCAAGAAGAAACTTTTGAAGTGCACCAGGTCGCTCCGGGAATTCTAGAAAAGTAAGTTATCAAAATTGCTTGATAGGAGTGGCATAAGATTGTTTGGGATGCTTACCGAAACGATAGAGTCGTTCGTTTTCAACATTACTCCTCCCACCAACCAGATACCGAGCATGACTCTTAGCCATCTCGTTATTACTTATGTCTTGACCGTGCATTCCATCGGCTTCCAATTTCTCTAAAATTTGTAATATTTCTTTTTCGCGGTTTAGGACAGCGAAAGACATGTAAATCCACGCTTTATCTGAATCCGAGTATCTGGGCATTATTTAAGATTAAAGAATAAGATGATAAAAAAATACGTGGCATTTGTTTTTTATCTGCTTACCTATATGAAAACTCTGTTATGGGACGTGGATGAATGTGATTATATAGTTTGAAAAAACTAAAATTGACGTTCTATTAAAATCAAGTCTAAGAAAATTAAAATAAATAATAAATTATCACCTTCCGGGACGTTCGGGTATGATTACGGAAATCAAAGCTTCGCGTTGTTCGCCCAATTCAGCACGTTCAGCTACAAATCTCAGTCGTTCAAAATTCATGTTTGCACCAGAAGTAATGGCTACAAAACAACCACCCGTAATCTTGTTTTCAGCAATATATTTGTTAATCCCTGCTACAGAAAGTGCTCCAGCCGGTTCCAAAACTGATCGAGTATCTTAAAAAATATATGTACATTCGTATTTTATTTTATTTTTTTTTTTAAAAAAAAAAGGAACAAAGACACATTATTGCTAATATAGTCACACCTTCAAAAACTTCTTTGATAGCTGCACAAATTTCGTCATTAGACACATTGATCATTTGGTCTACGACCTCACTGCATACCCTAAAAGTCTCCTCGCCCACAATTCTAACAGCAGCACCATCTGCAAATAACCCAACTTCATCAAGAATTACGCGCCTTTTCTCTCTCAACGAAAGCGTCATGGCGTTAGCATCAAGTGTTTCTACGCCAATAATTTTTATTCTCGGGCATAACCTTTTTACGTAGCTTCCGATGCCAGCAATAAGACCACCACCACCAACACCAACAAAAATAGCATCTATCTTGTCCATACTGTATTGACGAAGGATCTCCATCGCGATAGTTCCCTGACCAGCTATGACATAGGGATCATCGTAGGGAGGGATATTTGTACGTTTCTCCACTTCTATTAAACGAGCACATTCTGCTTTAGCCTCATCAAAATCTGAACCATATAGAACAACTTTGGCACCAAGTCGTTCAACGTTCTGCCATTTAATTGTCGGTGTTGCACTGGCATCTCCAAATTAAAATTATAGAAACATAATTATAAAGTAGGTGAAATGTGAGGCACATTAGAATACTAAAAAAAATCGTCAGATAAAATGTTTGGAGATTTCATACAGTGGCATCACGATGGTTGCTGAAAGATTGAGGTGTTTAGCAGACATGGCGACTCCCTGAGCATGGTTCCCTTTGGAAAAGGATAATTCACATAAATATAATTACATTAAACAATTAGATATGAATATTTGTGTGATGGATCGTGCAATTAAGTTTTTAATTAAATCAGGAGTCTTTATTCTATTATGGGAATACCTCCCGCCATGAGCACACGCAAAAATATACCTCTCTATCACATACCCAGCTCCATTCTCGGCCAATAATTTCCTATGAATCATAAAGAAAGGAACGTACCAGCAGAACACGCAATGACACCTCGGTTTCTTTCTTCCTCTGTCAAGTGAGAAATCTTATTATAAGCACCTCTAATCTTGAATGAAAAGACCTCATGCAAATCTTCTCTTTTTAATAATATTTTATTATTCGTTTTTATGGAAAGGTTTGTAGCATGCTGTAATGGGGTTTCTTTAACAATTTCGTAAACTCTAGAAGTAAGAATTAAACGTAAATAGTCGGGTTCAACTGTAGTAGAATTATCCATCAAAATACTATCTGGTGTCATGGTTGAGCTAAAGAACTGATTATCTCGTTTTTTATCACATTCCACCAATCATGCATGAATGATAAGTTTATCTGTGGCTATAAACAATCGGGTAATTATTACAGTCGCCTCCATAAGAAAAATCAGGCTTTACTTTCGGAGGCGACTTGTCATCGATTTAAATTTCATCATTAGATAAAATTCAAGTTTTATTTTTTTTCCGTCCTAATATATAAATACAGTATGTTACCATAAATTGATTATCAGGTGCCTGCATAAGTCAAATTAGAGAAAATTTTTTATTTAAATGATCTATAAGAAGTAATTTATAATGTCTGCCTATTTTGTATTATTCCTCTATAAAAACTTTGCTCATCCTAATTAAGAAATACTCTTTAGAATTTCAAGCGTAGTATGAAGGGGAAATTAACATATCGGAAAGGAGTGACAATTGATCTTCTGTGAATTGTTTCATATCTTCGTGCCATGTATCTTGATGTGTTCTCCTAAAGTCCGTAAATGTCTTCTTTACAGCCGTCTGAAAATAAAAGGTAAACATGAGAAACATCGATAAAGATATCCGGCTAGCAATTCGAGCATACCTGAATTGGTACGGGATCTGATATGCAATCCGCCAGTTTCACTAAAACTTCTGGCATCCACTTGGGAACTTCATACGGAAAAGCGTCAACAAGACACGACAAACCAAGAACTCCTGCATGACGTATAAGAACTGCCTCCTGAAAATCTCGGGGTAACGCTGCTCTGGGCATCTGGTTTTTCTGCTTTTTCGCCGGAATCTTAGTTTCCAATAATTTGTAAAATTGATGCTAGATAAAAAGAACATAATAAATATTACTTGTAAAGTAACCGAATTCTTAAATAGTGTATCCTACCTTTAAGGTGTCTATGGCATCCCTTTGCGAACATCGGATTAATCCTGATAGCGTAACCGCCGCCAATTGACGCACCTATGTACAGATAGGACTTTTATATAACTTGAATGTACTATAAAGATTTGTTTTGTTGTTAAGTAATATATAAATATAATCCACCTCAATTTGTGTATCTTTCATCATTCCAGAGACAACGTCCATTACTCTGATCATCTCTTCCTCACTTAACATAAACAGATGTTTAAAGAAAAAGACTTGCAAAACAGGAAGTGCTTTCACTCGTATATGCCAACTAGGAGTTTCAGTCAGGATTTCAACAAATCTTTTGACCATCGGTGGCACCATATCAGGAGGATATGCAAAAGAAGCGATGATATTAAGAACGTGAGTTGCCAAAGATTGAAGGTCTTGATCGTCATTTACATCTTGCATCAAAAACACCGAAGGTAGTAGTGGAATAAATAAAGGATAGGTTCCGGATGCTTGCCAAATCGTGAGAGCATCATAAAGCCAAGAAAGCACTATGCTCATTTATAAAACAATAATTAGTAACTTCCGATAAAAGAGGCAGGCATGAACTTGTTGACATACCCGTCTTGCTGGCATTTCCGTATTCAGAAGATCCGGCCGCAGTTGGTTTCTTTTCTGCACGCCATTTTTCCAATGATTGAACCAATCCCTCTATCCTCTGCTTTAAATCAGCATGTGGGGTAACAGGAACAAAACCCACGCCGTCGCCAGTTCTTACGTTACTTTCAAGTATTTCATCAACATTATTCGCTGATGGGTGCCACTGTATTTGAATTAATAAGTTGATATTGGCTGCCAAAACATCACGTACTTGCTTGTAAGGATGACGAATGTTTTCAAAATAAAGGTCGAGCAACAGTTGAGACTTCGGTATTATGCGCCAAGAAAAGGAGCTGATGAGAGTACGAATAAAAAATAGCTTCTTGGATTCCGCAAAGGAAGCGTGAGATGTGGGATCTAGGGTCAAACCATAGACAAGATCGATGAGGGGAAGGACACGTCGAGGGTCTCGATTCCGCTAAATAAAAAATTAGGATAAATTAAGAAAAGGTGTGGGCATTAAAGAAACGAAGTAATGAATTCTTACGAAACAATATCCCAGAAATCTCTCCCAATATATTAGAGAATCTGGTGTAATAGAATTTAGCGTTTTCTCCAATACAGGAATCAGCCAGTGCCACATTGATTGTAGCTTTTCGATGTGCCAATGTTTACTTCCTCTTATCAGACCAGCTAAAATCTCGGACGCTGCACGTTGCTGATTCTTTTCGGCTGATTCACACAACTTCAGTATTTCCGGTTTAACAACATCTAAGAACATGTCTTCGTACATTTGAAAGATACTTTTGAAAAGATGCGCATTTATTATAGAAAAATTATCTTCTTTATCACGTGAGGTCTCTTGTGATAAATAAGATAGCAAAGAGGACCAAAAAGTTGACAAATTAAAGCTTTCCAGGAATTTGTTATAAGCTGCTCGAGATGAAGGTTCAATGTCAGGTATTATCGTTGCTGAGGTGCGCGGTGAATACACCGTTATTTCGTCAGGCCAAACATACCAACCAACGTTGACCTTATCTTGAATGAAACTGGAAAAAGAAAAGAATTTGGTGAGACAACAATAATAGACAAAGGAACAAAGGTGTTCAACTAAAAACGTACATATTTTCGGAATTGCTTTCATGTATTGGAGTTAAACTTGAAAGCAAGTATTCATCGGTATACCCTTCCGGTAAAGGTTTTGGAACAGCAATTTTTCTTTTCAAGGGGTTAATCGATTCACTTGCTGCTATGAACTCGAGATCACCAGTGGTATATGTTCTCTGTTTTATGTGAAACAATATTCGTGATGTGGTTGATATCGCAATTCTTCTCAGAGCAGGATGCTCGGAAATCAAACTTTTAGCTGCGAATTCAGCCAAACTAAGAGATGGCGAAGCCTCCGGTCGCACCAGAAAATCCAAAAAATTTGCTGCCATTGAGGCAAAACGCCAATGAAGGGTATTGGAATTGACCAATTCCAGGAGAGTATCAACCTTAATAATAATGGAAAATTAATTTAATTCAATCAAGTATTATAAAAGGAAGACGTTTATAACTTACAAGTTCAAAATATCTCGTTTTCTGTAATTGCATTCTCTTTTCGATTATGCATTGGATTCTTTGGAGTTTTTCTTCATCAAATGACAACGAAAGGGTCCCCATTGCCTGGGATACTGCATCGTTCAACCCGTCGGTAGTAATGGCTTTAAATGCTGTGTTGTTGTAATTCAGTAAATAATCATAGAAAACTTTGCGAATCATTTCTTGTACCGAAGGCTAAAATGCGATAGATAGGTGGTTATTAGCAAGTTTTGAAATTATCTGTCTTAATAGATAATTCGACCTCATTACTTTGTCTTCATGCTGAGCTTGACATATCCGAGTGATGAATGAAGGAACAAATCGCCAATCCCTTAGACATGTATACATGTAAGTCCGTGTCCCTAGCAAGTAGAGTGCACCTTTCATCCGCTTTGGATTATGCTGTTCTAATAATAATATTGGTAGAATAATAAATCAAATAAAATTTAATCTCCTAATAGGCAGTTAAGGATGCAAACATACCACCAGGTTCTAGAGCCTTCAATAATTTTGGAATTATAAGAGGTTTTACACCAATGAAACAACGTGATGCGGTTATGAGATAAGATTGAGATATTCTGTCGAGTATTCACAATTAAAAATGTAGACTCGTTTTAGTCAAAAATTTCACAAGTAAATTTCAGTGAAAAGTCCTCACTTTCTTATTTCCGAATATGAACTCAACGATAATTCGATCAAATCTAAAAGTAGATCATCGTGTAATTTTGTTCTGACCCTACCATGAGCATTTTGCTTTAGACGACACAAATGCTGTTGGTAAGCTCGCTTGACTAAAAAGGATTTGAGGGGTTAAACGGGTGACTAAATCCCCAGAAGAACCAAAGTCACAAATATTAATACTTCCTTTACCTAACAAATAACGAGGATACTTTTTATCGTGATGAGGAGTTTTTAGCATTCCTTTAGCATACTGATGACCACGCTTGCTTGCTTCATATTTTGACTTTTCTACACCACGATCAGTAAGGTAAATCTTCATTATCTAATTTTCATATGAAGGAAATATAATTGAGATCAGAGTGCGATAAAAAATGAGAAAGACACGGAGAATGTTGAGCAAACCAACTTTGAGAAGGATTTTCAGGCTATCCACATCATCTTCTCTCGAATTTCGGAAATATGTGACCAGTTTATGCAAAAAAAAACCCAAATCTTTTCTCAATTGTCTAGAAATTTCTCTTCGTGGATCTTTTGGATCGATGAAACAATAACCCACATATAAGCCTTTCGTTGGACTAACGGATTCAGATTCATCATCTCTATAGTGTCAAAATCTAGTTAAATCCTATTTCTAGTATTACGGAGATATTGGCTACGAAAATTACATGTAATCTGTGGCCTCAATGTCACCATCATCCTCAACTAGCGTGGTCATTCCGCTAAGGCAATTCCGAACGACGCTCAAATGACGACAAAATTCGTGAGTCATTTCACGATTATTTAATACTTTTCCATTTTCATCAGTTCCGTGATCCATTAAATTCTGTATTTTTTGGATAGTCGGTCGAAGAAAAGTGTCTAAAATCTCCATCGCAAAGTTCAATTCAGGGTCAGATGGAATGTGCCAATCGACATTAATATTTTTTGGATCACCGGGCTGAACCCAATGTTTGTGATGATTTTTCTGGTAATCTAAATATCATATAATGCCAAGACTTAAATATTTGTAGAAATTTAATTCCACATTGATGCCATTATGACCATACCATCAGAGTTCCAACGTTCTGAATCAACACTTCGACATTCCAAAGGATATATATGAGTTAAAGAAATCAGCATCATTCTCAAAAATTTCCCCGTCCACATGTAGCCTTTTCTAGAGCGACATTTCCGCACCATCTCTTTAGCGAGATCTAGCAGATCATTCTTATGACCAAGCAAATCTGCACCACTTGACATGACAACATGATACAAAATGCATTGATACCAATGAAGTGTGGTATCAGATTGTATATGGTGTGTGGATGATGTGGGTGTGGATGAAGCGCCATGATGAAGTTCTGACATAATATTTGCATGACAAAGAGGTATGAATTGATCCAAGGCTTTTTTTCGATTTGGACTTGTTAAAGTGGAACATAAGTACCCTAAAAAACAATACAAATAATTAGTTTAATGAAAGCATAATTAACGAATTAAGTTTTATTAATTTTACCCATGGGTTTTGATGCATTTTGAAGTATGGTTGTAGATACAAAATTAATAACCATTTTCAGCGCCATATCCTGAAGTTTTTCCGACATTTGAATGCCAACAACCTCACAAGCGTGCTTTACATAGGGTCGAAATACATTAGAGTTAATATAATGGATTATACAGAGTAAAGTAGGATGAAAACCTACCAACAATACAGTAACCAATCCAGTTTCCATGTTGTACAGATTCTTCTTTCCACGATCGTTTGCAGGAAGGTATTCAAACTATCAAGTAGATAATTATATGAAGTGGATTTTGCGTTAAGGTTGACAATGGTTATTGAAGTGATACTAAGACGCGCTAAGTATACATAAAGGATACAATAGTAAAGACACGTCCTAAAAATTTTGCGAGCCATTCTTCAAACTCAGCAGTGCTCGCCTTACACAGAGCATCTTCTTCTTCTTCATCTATTTCCATCTGATCATCTCTTTCATCAACATCTACTCCAGACCATCGAAATCCAGACATATTAGAACTTCCTTCAGTCAGATCTATCAAAGGAATACCCATAATTGCATGGACCAAAAAAATCAAGGATGATATTGTCTTGACCGGATCATTCATATCGATACCAGGAATCGTTAAATGTAGAAGAGGTGCAAGATGCTTGCCGCCAGCCGGATAATGAGCGCGAGAAAAGAGCGGATTCGCAAGAAGAGAGAGTGTCGAAATTGACGATGTAGTCCGGTGTGTCTATATTGAAATTCCTTAAGATGAATTATATAACTAGCAATGCATCTATAAATTTCGAACCTCGGTCAAAGTTTCCAGGGAGGGATAAACACGCTCTAGCAATCCAGGGAATATTAATGAAGGCTCTAACCCTGTTAAATGGGTAACTTAAGGCTAAATAAATTTCCCAATGTTAACAAAGTTTAAGAACGCGTATGAGGTCAAGGATACAGGATAAGTATTTTAATGCTGCTTGGCTTGATCCAACCGATAGTGAATCCTTACCAAACATTGATAAGAATGCAACCCCTCTAAGGATCATAACGAATTGACGCCTAATTTCTGGTGTTAACATCCGTGACGCGGAAGTTTTACATTCCGGTTTCCTTTCTGTAATGATTATAAAATCGGAGGTTAGAAATTCAAAGGTAATTTATGAATTACAGCAGATAAATTATAAAATTATAAATTTGATAATAAATTATGAATTTTTAGACAGAAATCAAAAGAATTACCGTCTGTCCATCTTTTCAAAAACTCCCAGCCAAGAAATTGTAGGAACCTTACAATCGAAAAAGTCCACCTTCCGTAATTACTTGGATGATAGAAAGACTCTGTGGCTTGAATCATATTTGCTAAATATGTGAGTGTTGATTCCTCCTTCGAATCGCCGGAAGGAGGAAAAATTGTATAAACGATAAATCTGGCTAGCGTTTTGAATTTATCCTATGTTTGTTAAATTATTATAAATAATCAGCAATAAAACGAATGAAACAGCAAAGAGACACCGCATACACTTACCCCTTTTTTTCTTAACAGCATAGCATTACCGGTCTTATGGTCCATTTTTGACCATCCTAAAACCGATCCTCTTCCAGAATTGCTATTACCATTGCTAGTACTACCTACTGGTAAGTCCATCATTTTCGCCCCGGTTGCAAACACAGTTTTGACTTGGGCAAGTGTAAAAATTCCGATTTGACCGGGATTACTAACCTCTACATCGACATTATCTTCGGCAACGCGAGCCAAAAGATCGATGAATTCGGTTTGATACATCAGCGATCCCGGTAAAATGCACCAAAACGAGAATATTGTAGGTAGCCACACCGATGGAGAGTATTTTGGAGAGGTAGATGCTCTAGTAGGAAGAAATCGAACAAGGTAGGCTTGCACAGTGAAGGCATCTCCAATTGAACTGGCGTTAAAGAGAGGAAGAACTTTTGCAAGAATATCTTCTGTTGCTTCGGGAAGAAAAAATCTGTATACATTTCATTCATCATAATAATTATGATTACATATACATTATCCCGCTGTATTGTCATAAATTGCAATGAATACCTTTGAGCGTGTTCAACGAGTCGAACTACGGACCCTATTTGCTTGCTTAAATTTTTAAACGATAAATTAAGGAATAATAAATGAATGTTTAATGTATTTACAATCAATCAGCAGAATATATAAAGGCACCATTGCGAGGATACGATTCACTGACTAAAGTTTTTTGTCGACTTTTAGGAAAAAATGTTTTATGAATGATATTGAATAACGGTTCCCAGGGTAGGGTTAGATCTTCGACCCCCAATTTCTCCTTTTTCCTTTTTGATGATAGATAATAAGTTTTGATTAGCTTCTAAATTACAATAGTTGCTGACTTGAGAACTAACACATAGATCTCAAAAACTTATACTTGATTAATCGTACGCAAGTATTGGCGAACACTTCCGCGTATGAGGCATCAATTCCGGGAGTGATTACAAGTTCGAAGAGAACCTTGGCTAATTGCGCACGGGTCTTGCGTGTTAAAGGGTGACGGAGATCTAAATAACTGGAACACGCGAAATTGAATGTTTTTACAGTTTAAAACCTTCAAACACGCAATTAATCCACTTTAAACCCTTATCCTCATTTTTCAACATACCCATTGAGTTGCTTTACCCAGTAAGCACAACCCGGACTCCAATCTCGTGCCTTTGCGGAAGAACAAAGTTGCTCTACAATTTCATTCAATGTATCATTGGCCTCGTCTTCCAAGAGCGAAGCATAGGGAAGACTTTCTGAAAACATTTGTAAAGTAATAATTCGAAATGTTCGAGATATGTTTCCTATTTAATATCTGAAAGCAGCCAATGAAAATAATACATATGAATTTGCGTAAGCTGTGTACGTAATGTGATTCGTAATTTTCGAAAATTTCGTGGCGTAGCGCATTATTTATAAACCAAGAAACGAAAGCCTCAATATTATCAAGACTATATAATAAGCCATTATCAGTTTTACATGGCGATTAAATTTAGAAAATCATGACGTAACTTTGATTTTATGACTAATTAAACCCACAAACATGTTTGCCTTTATTGGTTGATATTTCAATTTTTTTTTAACTCTAATATGGCTTATACTATATTATTTGTTTGACTTTATATAAAGTATTGACTTTTACATATTAACTTATCTATCATCAAAAACCTATTTCTCTAGATATAACTTAAGAAATAATATTTTGTTTCTTTATTGATGTGAATAAATATTCTAGTCAATAAAATCGTTGCCTACAAGTCATTACTGTAGATCATTCTAAATTTTATCTACAATTAAAAATAAAATCATTTAGCTCTATAATAAATTCAATCCTTAAGGCTTTCTATATACTTCTTTCTCTTTTTTTTTTTCAAAAGTTTTCTGTTTCAAGTCTTCTAAAGATATTGAAAATTTCTTTTGCTTTTATATACAGTAGTTTATATATTGGATTTATACCTAGATCTTTTAGATCTTTTATTCTTTTCAGTAATATTTTGCTTCTTTTTCCACTCTATTACTTTAATGCAATAGTTATTTCAGATATTTTTCTTAAAGTTTTTCTCATTTTATGATAAAATTTATTGATTATGCTCTATGTGGATATTGAAAAAATTTTGAGTTATACTTTGAAGTAATTCTTTAAGAAAATAGTTTTATTTTTTTTTATATATTCACAGATAGTATTTAAAAGACTTCTTTTTTTTTTTTTTTTTTAACCTGCAATCATGTCACAATAGTGTGTCTTTATTGAGATATTGAGAAATACCTAAATATTTTACAGACTTTCACAAAGTGACTAACTTGTCATTGTACAT